GGTCATGAACACTCGATGTATTTCCAAGGAGTATCATGTATATATGATTGAGAGAATACTGGGTATTTTGAGGCATATCATTTCATGGTGTCCTATTGCATTGCATCTCATGACATCCTTCTTTCTTGATTAAATATGTGTTTGTATTGGTGATTGCAAAATACTTGATATTTGATTACCTATATTTGATGCAACTTGACCAGTAAGTGTAATATATACTTGTATAATTAAAGAATTGATTTTTCTTATATAAACTTCCGTTACTACTTCTTTGTTGTCGGTCAATGAGATATATTGAGTACACGTGGTTTCATACTCATACTACACTTGTCGCACTCTTTGTGATGTAGATTCGATTTCGCGTACGAGCACATCTCGTGAAGCAATTTGAATTCGAGCTTGGAGTGTCTTGAAATTGTGGTAAGCTGCTTGGCTGTTCGGTGACCCACACCTCCCTATATCTTTCACTTATTTTGTTATTTCAGTATTCAGACAAGATATGCCTTATGTTGGATTTGTCATTTTAGTTTCAGACTTGCATCGTATTTTAGAATCTCTTGTACTTATGACACCAAATTCTTGGGTGGTATTTCAGTTTTCCGCATTTCGTACTTATAAGAAACTCAATATTGAAAATTTTTGCCAAGTGTTTAACTTTTTTACTCATTAGTTAGTTAAATTTGGTAAATATGTTATAGGTTGGGAACATAGGTACTATCACAACTAGTGAATTTGGGTCATGAAATATACTTTCTTAGTTTCTATTTATTTATTAAATATTTCCTAATTTGGTTTTCCTGTTGTTTGTTATTTTTGACAAAAAAGGATGGACACTTTTTTTTTGTTTATTATTATTATTATTATTATTATTATTAAATTTTTGGTTAATTCATATTGTTAAAATTAATAAATTTTGTATAAATCAATTGCTAGAACTTGCTATAGTTAGATAAAATAATGAGTTTTTTTCTTTTTGTGTTTGTTATTTTGCAGGATCGTGCCAAGGCATACTCAATTGGCGGTGAGGAACGGTGAGGAAATTGTCTACCTACATTAAATCATAACTAATTATAATAACTATTAACAAAGTTGCCATAAAAATGGCAACACGGCATAATCAACTACAACTCTAAAAATTAAAATGAATTCATACTTAAACTAAACTTTCTTGGGCTAATTATTTCAGATAGTGTGTAATTAATTAGAATAATACTTATCAAAATATAATATAAATAATCACAATATTACCATAAATACAACACAGATCAATCTAACACTAATTTTGGTAACTTATAACTACCAAACAAAATGGAATTTCTGTTTCTACTAGATAAGGATTAGACTAAAAAAGACAACCTATATATACACTACTCTACCATTAGGTTTCTAATATGCAAAAATTAAAACGTTCTTACTTCTAAGTACTTTTTTCTTTTCTCAAATTCTTACTTTTAACTTTTTTTTCTTTCTCATACAAGTGATTATACTATTAGTTTTTTTTTAAAAAAATGACTATATATGTTCCTACCCCCAATAATTGGCACTATGTCCTCCATTTTCCCCTTTTTGGATACGTCAATAATGTTCATCGTGTTCGACCCCCCATTATTGGACACGTATCTAATGCTCATGCAGAATTTAGGTTAGCGGGGTATGAAGGCATTGCAAGAGATGACAGGGGTAGATGGTTACGATGATTTGTGGGGCGATTAGGTGTGGTAACAACGTTGTGTCTCACGGCAGAATTGTGGGCCATACATGACGGGCTGACCCTGGGGAAGAAGTTCAACCTAAAGAACGTCATCATCGAGACTGACTCTCATGAAGCATTGATGCTCATGAGAAAGGGATGCATTGTCGACAATCACCCCGACCGTGACGTGATTGAAGAGTGTCAGCGTCTTATGTCCGAACTTGGGAACTCCATGATGGATACTCTAAGGGAAGGGAATAGTTGTGCAGATCACCTAGTTTTTTATTTTTTATCGATGTGGGACTTTTGTCATTCTTTAACATCCCACCTCACGTCCAGTGCTTCGCATCTGGTGCGTGGGCAATTTTAATTTTGGGGACCTCAACATCGGGTGAGACGGACCCTGCTCTGATACCATGTGAAAAGGAGGATTGTTCATACCTTATAAAGAGTCCACCCATCTCATTAATCACTGATGTGGGACTTTTGTCATTCTTTAACAGTAATATTACATTGTCCGCCACATTTCATGCACCAACTTCTTCTAGCAGACATAGCTCACATTGCATATCCTAGGTACCGAAAACATGTACGATAGTTTAGTATATATAGCACAAAAGAAAAAAATATGAAATTGTACGTAAACATTTGTTAATGTTACAAAGAATCTAATAAACATATATTTGTTAATTCATTTGTACGATTTATGTTTATGTTTGGTTGTTCATACTAATGATGAGTAACCTACTGTGTTTATCTGCTTGGAATATGATTTCAAGTAATTTAGGGAGTTTTGTAGAGGAGTGGTAAGAGTGTAAGTCATTTGGTTCATAGAATTAGGTGAATTGACTCGATTTTAAATTTTGAAACTAAATACATCGCTAGAATTAATAAGCGTAAAATTTGTCTACATTCTGTCGTTCCTAAACTAAACGGCTAAAAAATTAGATTTGATTTTTGTTGGATTCACTAGAACTTGACGGTCTCATCAAATTATCAAAATAATGTAGTGTTACAACAATATGTATAAAGTCATATGAATGAAAAAACTTGCGTAAACAATAAGTGTATTAACATAAAATGGATGTATAAAATATTAAGAAAAGATTAAAATGATCTTTTTATTTATTTCAACGTTCAGGGGAGATAAAGTTGTGTTCAATTCTTAGTGTCCAGTGTCTACGACATTATTATGAGTAATTGCTTGGGCAACAACGATCACGACCATTTTTGTCCATCAAACATTTACAACATATCCAACAAAATCTTTCTTATTATTTTATACTCCCTTCGTCCACTTAAATCACTCTGTTATGCTTTTAAAAAAAGTTAATTTAATTAACTTTCAAAATTAAATTAAACTACATCAATTTGATATTTTAAATTAAAAAAATTAGATATTTAAAAATTATATAAAAATTATTATAAGTTGTTACTTTTTACATATCAATATGATTAAAAATATATCGTAAAGTGTTAGTCAAAGTTTTTATTTATTTGACTCTTAAAATAATCATGACAATTGAAAAGGGAGTATTACTCTCTTTGATAGTCTAATATAAATATGTCGTTGATATTCTTTTATGGTTCAACATAAAGTCTAAAATAATTTTATTAATATTAGTTTTTCATAGTCATCCTTCTTTTTAATGTGATTATTAATTACTATTAAATTTGATATAATAATTATTTCTACTTTTAAGAAGAGTTTGAGCACAACTAAAAGATTAATATAGCAACTGTCATTTGATTAACATCTTTTTTAAAATGGGCAAGGGGTAAATATATTTTCTATTTTGTGATTTAGAAAAGATATATGGTAACGATCGGATTTCGTCGTTATTGAAATGCCAAAGGAGGAAAATCAAGGGTTGGAATTTTATTTTGTAGTACTTGGATTTTTCCTAATCTTGTTCAGATTCGGAGAAATCGGAGTCACCAAGATGTAGGGAAATCTGGTAACAATCCGGTAGAGTAATTATGAATTTGATTACATCAGGTGTTATATAACTCGTTAAGGAATCCGTAAGACCTTACGGAATTGATTTGGGTGAGTAGAACTCTCAAAATCAAACTTAACGTAAAGGGTATTTTCTGAATGTCGTGGGTTAAAGGTGATTTGCTCACCGGTTCGGAAATCCCGCTTTGGGGCCGGGTTTGGCCGTTCTGGCCCGAAAGGAAGCGTTGTAGAGGGTACGACGGGGGTTAAAATCAAGGATAAAAGATGATAGCTCACTGGTTCAAACGTGCCCTTTTAGTTATTTTTCATACAATAAAATCTATCCTTGAACATTTTTGAGTTATAATTGAAATAGTTATCACCTCCTTAGTCTTATACGAAGTACATGAGCAGCATTTGACAACTTGCTCAGGTTCTTGCTCACAATCTTGCTCTGGTACCACGTTGCCACATCCTTAGTATTCTACTAAGCAAATATGCAGCACTTGACAAGTTGTTCACATTCTCTAGCAATCGCTAAGAGAATGGGAGAGAGAACACAAGAGAATTATTGGGAAGAATTTGTGTAGAAAATTTTAACTATTTTTTGCTTGATGAATTTATAAATGGATATCTCTCTATTTATACTACTAACTTAGGAGGTAAAGTGTAAATCAAAATTATTGCATAAATCCCTATATATTTGCAAAATGGTGTCTTTTTTTTTATAGAATTCTCTACATATCTAGAAATTTGTAAGGATCTTCTATGATATTCTAGGTTCTACATAATAAATTCTCATATTTCTCTAGAACCTTCCACTATGGACCAGCATTCTTCCTATGTAAGCCCTTCACATGGAAAACTTTGTGCCATGTGAAACTTATGTGGCACTTTGTAGTGTTATGACATGGCGGGTCATCACATATATAGTGGAGCATAAAGCAACTATAAGAGGGCTTCTTATCTTAAGGTTACTTTTCTTCTCTTAATTTTATCATTCCTTCTTATAAGTTTTATAAAGTGTAAAGTTATAAGCCAACTTCTAAAAAAAAATCACTTACTTAGAATTCAAATTCTTCCTTTTAGGTGAATTTGGGATTTCAAATCACAATTTCAAGTTGAAGTTCAATTTTTGTTCAAATGACATAAACAAACACGAATTTCAAATCTAAACTTCATATTGGAATCTAAATTAGATGGTTGAACGGACATAAATAAGCAACTTCCTGACCATGGTCCTCAAAATCTGCAACTAATCCAAAAAATTATTGCTGCTGATCTAGAAATGTGATATGAAAACCATAAGCAAGTTATATGTGAGTCCACAAAGTTGTGATTGTTCCATGTCAATAAGATCACATGTACTTTTTTTATGAGTAAACAACAAAGTTCTATTGAAATCCACCAGGGAAATGGTGTTGTACAATTACAGTGTAGTTATTCAAAACAGCACCAGGCTTTCAACTACAACACTAAGTTGTAAGATTACAAAATAACTTTACATATATACGCACCATGATACAACAACTCCTGACGAATACAATTGTGTGTAGCTTTTATTGGAAAGAAAAGCGTCAAGATACTTACAGTTGATAAAATTATAGTCTAGGTTCAGTAAGAACCATTAGGAGGTTTCATTAATCAGCTTCTGTAGGTGCTTTTTGGTAAATGATTAATGTGTTTGAACTTAGAGGATTGGCATGATATTGCCCGTATACTGCATACATCCCAACTGTAACAATGCTGAGAACAACAAATCTCACCCATGCTTCATAATGCAACTGCAAGAAAAAGAAATGGAAAAATGAGCTCGAGTTCCAATCTTTTTAGCTTATTGTATCCGATGATTTGTATTTGTACTATGTTTACGAAACAAACCTGGGCAAACAGAAAAATATTGATGAAGATGCAAACCGTAGGCAGAATGGGGACTCCTGGGCAAGAAAATCCTGGTGTACTAGTATTAACCTGTGAAGAACAAACGAGAACCTCAAATTTAGAAAACAATGCTATATACTGTTAGGAAAAATATAACCTAAAATTTAGAAACAATGGTATATTCAGTTTGACAAAATATAGCCTAAAGTTGGAAAGCAATGCATATAGGTAAATATTTTCTATTGATGGGCTTAAGTAGTTTTTGTTCTTCCCAGTATGATATATGTATTAGGTTGCAATGTCATTATTTTACTATTAGGCCCTGAAATGGATAAAACCAACTTCGTTCCCCAATGATGTATTAATTTTAAGTGACACTGAGAGTACAATAAAGTAATCTTAAAAGGATATTATTATGGTTTTAGATATGAGTTCATTCAAGATGGCAAAGTGGATGGTAGGGAGAGTATAGTTTGCAATCTAAAATGGCAAGTCACCAAATTTCTTGGCTAAAACATAAATGTCAATGGTTGCTATAGGATAATCTATGCATTTAAGAACATTAACAGCACGGAGACTATGGCTCATGCTTCTTTAGTTGTTTTATGTAACTTTTTTGCAATTGCAGTTACAAACATAGCTAAAAGTTAGGGAATGGTTGCTAGTTATGTTCTATTTACACATTAAGTATGACTACAGTTGGTTGACCACTTGAACATTCACCTAGTTGGTGAGGGTTCGATTCCCCATCTTGTAACACCCCCCCCCCCCTCTTCTATTTTTCCCCCTTCTCCTATCCCCAATTTCTTTTTTTACAAAAAAGAAGCTTAAATAAAACAAAGACTCATTTAGTAAAATAATCCATGTGAGAATTTTGCATAATCCAAAAATTTTAACTTTATAAAAGTACCATCACAAAATAATCAACAATAACAAACCTAGTGAAATTCCACAAAGTTGAGTCTGGGGAGGATAGAGTGTATGCAAACCTTACCACTACCTCCTCGAGGACAAATAACATATAAGAAAATTACTAAAGCAAAAAATAAAATTGAAGATGATGTTAAAATGATTATAAATCACAAGAAATTTAATTTTTGACAAGGAAAACAAAGAATATGTAAATAGAGGCTAAACAGGTCAGGGCGGAGTTGAATCTAAACAGGGAAGACAACTAAACAGGGTAGGGCAGGGGAAAAGTTTAGCAGGGGAAGACTTAACCCACTCCGCCCCACTGACATCCCTTTTGTGATGTATACAAAGCATCTACATCTCCCATTTCTGAGAGCTTAATCATATACATTTCATATTTCCTTCCAATTCTGTTTTCCCAGGGAATTTATAATGATTTGAATTTGGTGAGATAGCCGATTTTAAAGTAACTTTGATACTCTGGAGGGGAACTTGATGTGCATTTTCTGTAAACAAACAAAATTTAGAAACACAACTTGAGCATAAAAATTTAAAACGCCATAAAAAGAACACTGCAGCTGTGAAAATATTGATAACGAGACTACTAACATTTTAGTTATTCAAAATTCGACGACTTTGAGATCGTGCTGAATAAGCTATAAGTGCTCCGTCAAACAGATTGAGAAGGAATAGCTTGGACTAACATACTCAAAAGTCATATTATCTCCCACCAGACATATTAAGCATATGTTTATAGAAGACCAGCATGTATTTACTGATCAGAAGTCAGCAGTTGAACATTGCTGGATCCAATAGACAAAAAAAGGTTTTACACGGCAACTTTTTAACAAAGATTGAATCCAAAATATTTTATTTTATCCATTTAAAAGTCATTGTTGATTCAAATCATAAAAAGCAGCATGCTGTAAAATTGGACATTAGCCAAGAATTAATCCAGAGTATATGTCTAACTTTCCACTAATTAGATCCTGAGATATCTGCGTCAGAGAATGATTTCATGCTGCCATAAAATGTTCACTTTCAGTTTTCTTACTTTAAGGATACCTTAATTACGGGTGCAAGTAAACGTCCTGGTATATGGTCTAAGGATTCTCAATGCAAAAGACTGGAACAACTTACTTGACGGAAATGAAGAGCAGCAGCTGCCAAGATTGCAATAAATACAGCTATGATCACGAATATAAGTGAAGCTCCAAAACGGTAAAAGACTCCTGCAGCAAACCCGCAACAGACAACTGTAATGAGGCACATGAGGCCTTCTGCCCTGCTAGAAATAGACTTGCCAAACACCTGACAGGCAGTCTTATCCTTCCAGCGAAGAGTCACAACACATGCTGAAACAACAGAATATCCTGTCTGAAACAGACCAGCATCCACATAAGTAATATGAAATATTATATTAGCAAGATATAGTATGTAGACATTCAAGAAACAGGTCATGCTAACCATCTATTAATCGAACTACCTTTTTTCTTCTAAAATCAAGTGTAACCTAATAACATCATTCATCCTAAAGTAACCTCCAAAGGAAAAAAGTATGACTCATTATACATTGAAAGGGTTTTTTGGGGGGTTTGCTGAGTGAAAACAGAAATGTTTTTTTGACTTGAGTAAGTTTTCTCTCCCCTCTCTCCATGCAACACACAGAGATTTGAAAGTCATTGCTGCATCACTTAGAGAGACCATTTAATGTGACACAATGGTGCCTTATTTTAACAGATGAGGTAAGGAAAGTGAGTGCTCCATCACTTCCTTTTCTTCTTCTTTTTACCATTGACAAGAAGGAAAGGAAAACATAGCCGCTAATATTTGGGAGTTAAATGAGATCTCGTTACAAGAATTGATCCAGCAACAAGGTCTTCATCCAATCTGTTTAGGTGCTTTAATTTTTGTGACTGATTTATAGGAGCTACAGAAAAAGTGATGCAAACCTGAGACCTATTCTGAGTCACCATAGTTATCAAATTTACGATGATTTCCTATTTATTTTAGTGTGTGATATTATATTTTAGTCTTCTTCCAATTTGTCTAGGTGCTTTAAGTTTTGTGATTGATTATAGGAGTTTTAGAAAAAGTGATGCAAACCTGAGACCTGTTCTGAGTCAGCATAGTTATCAAATTTACGATGATTTCCTATTTATTTTAGTGTACTGTGATGTTATATTTTGGTCTTCTTTTCATAATGTGTGTTTCTTGCTTCTTTCTAAAAGCCCAAGGAACCTTCTCACCTTTTTATGCTTTTGCTTTCTCTTATTTAATATGTAAAGTACTCTATTCATTTATCACAGCACCCTCTTGAGTAAAGCATGTATATTCTTGCGCATTTCCTTTTCGAAAGAACTGTGAGCAAGAGTGCAAAAAAAAATTTTTGGGAATGAAACTCTTGTTAAGTATAAACTTAGTAATCATTATATGATTCATTCACCTCGACCCATATAGTCATTTAACATACACATGAGGACCTCCAGTACAAAACATGCAGAAGAAGAAAAAGAATATACCAGGGTTCCTACTGAGAGAATGTGCGAGAGAATGTGCACATTAAAGCATCCTGCTAAGACACTGGCAACAATTCCAACCCAAATTTGTGAATGAACAGGAGTGTGTCGAGTTTGATGTACTTCACCAAACAGTGATGGTAACAAACCGTCTCTTCCAAGGCCAAGATATAGACGGGACTGCTCATAAAGAAAATTCAACTCTTATGGACCAAATTCTTAGCTTGTTCAATGACATCAGCATCTTGACATAAAAGCAGTATACCTGTACATAAAGCCCAACCAGGAGAGTGGTAGTAAGTCCAGCAATAGCGCCAATGCTAATTAATACAGACACATATTGCAAGCCCTTTGATGTAAAAGCATCAGCCAGGGGAGCATCCCCACCAAGTGACTTGTATGGAAGCATCCCAGTGAGCACCAAGCAGACTCCAACATATAATGCAATACAAATAAGCAGGCTCCCGATTATGCCCAACGGCAAGTCTCTCTGGTAACCGGGTTCATCATCAAAGATATCATTAAGTACAGAAAAAAGGGAATGATCAAAATCACTAGATACTTGTTAAAAGACGGGTCGCAAAAAGGGCATCATATCAATCAGTCTTACTTGTGGGCTTTTAGACTCTTCCGCAGAATTAGCAACTGCATCAAACCCAACATACGCAAAGAATACTACAGTTGCTCCAGTCAGTACAGATTCAAATCCATTAGGAGCAAAAGGACTCCAATTTGAAACATCAACCTCAAAAACTCCAACAATGATTATAAAAATAACAATGACTACCTGCAGAAAAATTGTCTCTCAATCAGAGATCAGCATGTAATTTTCATGTCAATCCTAAAAGAAGGAATCATTCAACAACTATTTCAAAACAAAGGAAAATAATATCATGACAATGGCATTCCTTATTAAGGAAGTCCATATTGCAGGCACAATGCATGATTCAAACAAAATATAGAAGTTCTCATTATCAGCACATACTCTATTTTTTCAGTTAAAATGCATGAGATGTTTTCGGATCAAGTTTTTAGTATCATGTAATCAGTATTCATGAGCTATTCAGTATATCAGCATAAACTCAGTTGGGAGAGTCACTTAGCACTAGGTGGATATTTGGATGAAACTCACTATCGTTAGCTGAAACCTTTAGTAGCAACCCCTAATTCCCAGATTCAAGTTCCACCATAGGTCTATGTAGCCCCTGTAGGCACATATTATCAGCTTAGTGGTACCATGTTAGATCAAATCAGCCTCTATACCTTGGCAAAGTATATTGGATCTTTTTTTATGGGAATTATGCATCGAACTCCATGTCTAGCTCACATGGTTATATGTCGATTTTAGCATCTCCCACAGTACTTATTAGTTGCATGTTGTTTTACTTGGTCATTGCAATTGTTCATGTACATCAAGTCTTCCAGATTTATCAGGTTCAGTTTAGTATACTAGTGATGCATGTCTCACATACTCAGTACATTTCAAAACACTGACCACATACTCTCTACACTATATTGTTTTATAATAGGTTTGGACATTCAGCATTCAGTTCGCGATTAGTACGACTCCCGACTAGCTAAGTAGCACTTTGGAGAGACCTCAACTTGCGAGGACAACCCTTGTGTTTTATTTCAGTTGTTTATATCTTTCAATATTCAGACAGTTAGAATTAAGCTAGGGGCTTGTCCCAGCAACTCATCTTAGTAGAGGCTTTCACACATTCAAATAGTAGCTCCACATATGTTTTACTCAGATGTTCCATATAGCATTGTGGATTTATTAAACTATTTAGATTCAGCTTCTGCATTAGTTATCTTCAGTGGATAATTATATAAATCTCAGTGTCATGCCAGGTTTTGGGTTAGCTTGGGGTCACATGGGACTCTAAGCACCACGTTAAAACAAGGGGTAGTCTTGGGTCGTGACAGAAAATCAATGTTGACTGGCTTCCTATCATTGTTGATTATTTAAGACTGCCCACTCTCCTTACTATCAAATCCCCCCTTCCCCTCTCTCCCACTCCAAAATCATATTTTCATGTGGCCGAGTATACTACAGTTCTCTTCCTAATATAAGAAGTACACTGATTGCTACTCTAAGACTCAACAAATTAGAACTACAACTGAAACATAGAGTATCAGTTCTGATGCCATTTCCTCCTATATGACAGCAACTTATCTGATTGTAGTGGAATTCAAAAAATAAGTTCTACATAAGATAAACAATTTATTAATCCAAGCAAAACTCTTGTATACAAACTGTATACATAAAGGTAGGACCTATACAAAAACATGGCCCTTTACAAATGATACCCAACCTTCTATACAGAGATAAACTTTATCGGGCAGTAAAAATTATCTTACAATAAAAGCTATCTATTTTTTATAAACAATCATTTTTCATCCCCTCGAAAGCTTTCCTATTTCTTCCTTTCCATAGGACCCACATGATGGCCAGCGTGGTAACATCCCATGCCCTGTTTTTCCTTTTCCTTCTTCTAAAGGACCAACTATGCAACTCATCATTCAGTTGAATGCAGCATCACCAGCTACAAACTGAATTAGTTCAAAACAAACCACCACAGGCATGAAGTCACTTCGCAGTGTAATAAGAAGTGATCCACATCTTTTTCTAAGAATCTATACATAAAACACAAGCAGATATATGTAGCTGTCCTCTTCTTCAGATTATGGGAGAACTTAAATCTCCTTACCTTAAGTTAACTAATTTCTGAAATTGCATTCGCAAAAATGTTTACACTAATTTAAGGAGTTACACTTCGATATCAGAAGGACCTTTTACCCTAAATGGTATTCAATCACCAAGAAGAACAAGCTTACCTATTATGACAAATAACAAAGAGTAGATGGAAAGATCACCTTAGTCACTGTCATCACTGAATTTAATATTGAAGATTCTCCAACACCTCGACATAGAACAATTGTCAGAAGCACTAGGAGAATTGGAGCTAATAAATTAAAAGAAAATGCACCATATATTTCTTCACTGCCATGTCCAACCCAACTTGGGATGTTGTTATTGAGGAAGGGAATGAGCTCTAGTGCAGTAATCACATAACTTGCTAAACTGCGAGCTATGCTAGCTGCACCAATATGATAATCAAGCATCAACTGTGAAAATACAAGGAAAGCAATAATCTCATTGAAAGCTGTATAAGCATATAAGTATGCTCCCCCAACAACAGCTGGAAAGCGTGAAGCTAACTCAGCATAACAGAGAGCATTGAGCACGCAAGATCCTCCTGCAATTATGAAGCTGACAGTAACTCCTGTACTAGAAAAAAATAAACCCTCATTAATGAAAAATTAATACACATGCATACTATGGAAAAAAATAGCGAAAATGGAAGAAAAGGATCTATATAGGCTACCTATTAGTTAGGACTATGTTTTAGTGATGTTGGTATGTTTACCATAAATCTTATGCTTTTAGGAGTCCTCTTAGCCCTATTTAAGATTATATGCCAATGGAAAATGTAAAAACATCTAGCACTTACTATCATTATAATAGTTAGTAGTAGTAGTCCTAATATATGGACTGTCAGTAATAGGTTAATTGCAAAGTCGCTCATCAAATTTGGACCACGTTTTCAACATTATGAAACTACCTGGATATGCCAAAAAAAAAACTGAAATTTTTGCAAAGTAGGAGCTGGAAAAGACTCTGTAAAAAGGCAACCAACTTTTGGAACTCTATTCCATCTGCCATATGGTGAACAAAGGTAGTAACCTTAGGATTTTATTAAGACAAAAAGGAAATGTAATTAGCCTAGAGAATAGCTCTTTTCGTTTCTAAATTTTTGGAGTAATCAGATCTATTTACAAGATGTTGCTGACATAATCAACATTAGTGCATTGCACAAACTGTAAAGCTCTTTCAAAAGCACAATTTTCGTGCTGCTTTGTTTCTGATAAAATTCTTAGCCTTAAGTATTTTGTAATATGAGTTTAAGATGTACTTAAATGGAACGACAATCAGAGGATTCATATAGTCAACTCGAACTTACTTGGAATTGATGTATAGTTGTTGTAGTAGCAGTAGTAGTTGGGTCTAACATGAAATTAAATGGAACGGCATAGCCTGAGAATTCAAAAACTCGACTCGAACTTACTTAAAAATTGAGGCATAGTGGTTGTTACTATAATAATATATGCATACTTGAAATAGAAAGGATACAAGTGCCATGATGGGCTTTTATTTCATTGAAGAACTTAACTAAAAATATGCTTACTCAAGCTAGGTAGTAGTACCTTTTGTCCCATTTTATGTGACAGTCTTCTCTTTTAGTTTGTCTCAAAAGAACAAACTTTTCTATATCTAAAAATAATTCAACTTTAAAACTTTTCATTTTAAATAAAGGAGATGATTTTTATAACCACATTAATGTCTATTGGCTATTTCAAATCACAACTTTCAAAAATCTTTCTTTCTTACTCACAAGTTGGTGTGCCCAGGCAAAAACCATCACATAAAATGAGACGGCGGGAGTAGTAAAGTTTTTACTAGCAACTTCTATGTCATAAATGTAAAAATTATCTATGAAACTGAACTTCCCATTCAAAACAAGATCTAAAAAATTATCTCCACATACTTGATATGAAGCAACTCATCACATAGCTACAAGAACGTCTGAATATTTCTTTTAAAAAAAAATGAAAAGGCCGTATTCATCCTGAAGCAATACTTTTAGCAAAATAATATGATCTAACCAAGCAATGGCCTATAATATTTTTTCCACAATTCACGCCACACTTCCCAATATTTCAAAGTTAGGTTTATAATCATTCCACAACTCGTAAGGTATTTTTCCAGTTTTTTCACAAGGAATCCTACTTTGCGAATTGCAAGTGACATGCAAATAATACTGAAGTGAAGGTCATTTACACATTACTAATGTATACACTCCCTTTGATAAAATTTAATCATATGTCATGACACATGCTCATTTGCTCTTACTTTCTAAATTCTACACCGCCTCTCACATTCTTAAATTGAAGAAATAATGTTTTCATAAGACATATCAATCACTTGAGTGATTATTACCTCATCATAGTGTTATTTAACTTGTTAGTTTTGTATTATTTAAATTTTATAGTTCCAGCTCTTCTTATAGAGAAAATTAATCCAGCGGACTCAAGCACTAGTTATACTTGATCATACATTTATTATTCTAATTTCCTTCATATCTCCACGATTCAATATTAATTTTTAATTAAAAATACATTAATCTAGTCCATTTTAGGGCCACAGTTATTCAAATTAACTTTCTATATAGCAAGCTGACCTGGACCGGTATCGTGGGCGACGGTGCCGGTAACAACAAAGATTCCGGCGCCGATAGAAGCTCCAATGCCGAGAAGAAGGAGATCAAAGAGACTGAGACGGCGGACAAGACCTTCGCCGGAGGAAGCATGGATTGCGGTCTCCGACGGCGAAGCTAGTGGTTTGGACCGTAGCGCCGACGACCAGAAGTGAGAAAACCATGACGGTGCCGAAGGTGAGGAAGAAGATTCAGAGCGTTCCCAAGTACTCATATTTGAATTTCGGATTCTCTCTTAATCATCGTCAACAATAAGTGCTTACATTAGGATCAAACCAATGCTAAATGACTGAGCCACATGATTCAGTTTCACAAATCGTGTTACCCACAGTTAAATGACTATTATTTTAAGAATGTAAAACTTTTTCATCCAATTCATAATTCATAATTAATAGTGATAAAATGATAAGTTTGGTATGTCATTAATTATTATAATAGTGGTAAAATAATAAGTTCAGAATATCATTAATTATTTTCTTAGTAGGTGTGTCAATTCAAAAGTGGACAAGTAAAAAGTAACAGAGAGTATCATTTATGTTTCATTTAGTATCAAAATATCATCCAACTATCATTAATTATTTTTGTTAGTAGGTGTGTCAATTCAAAAGTGGACAAGTAAAAAGTAACAGAGAGTATCATTTATGTTTCATTTAGTATCAAAATATCATCCAACTATCATTATTTTTCTCCAAATATACTTAACACTTCAAAAGCATCACTGTCTCCTAATTGGTATGACATGTCACTAAAATCACCTTTTAATAATATACTAATTTAATTCATAAACTCATTTAACTAAAATAATAACATATTATTTTTAATTTTTTTAATTTATTTATTATGAATAAATTTTCATACTTAAACTTTTCTATCATAATTAAACTTTTTTATTTTTTTATGTTATGCAGAATACATTTTTAAAACGTACTATAATCTCTTCAATTTTGAATACTTATAAACACATACAATCAAGAAAATATTGATGTACAAATCACTCATGAACGCTAATTTTTTTAATTAATCGTAAATTGTATAATGAATCAGTAATATTGAAGGTCGATTAATTATTAAAAAATAATTATTTTGGTGCTTTTAAATCCATATATACTTACAATATCTTTTTAAAAAAAGAAAATAGCAAGTGAATAATATTTATATAAAATGAAATTTTAATCTTTATTTATCAGTATATTAATCTCATATAATATGTATTTTATTAAATTAAGTTAGGAAATTCAATTAATTATTAGCTTATTTATTGATGTTTATTCGTATGAAAAGTTATAATATAATATAATATAATATAAAATAAAAGAATAAAAATAAAAATAAAAAAGTTAAATAATAATTTTTCTTTCTTAACAATTTTTTGTCAACCTTACAAATTCATTTAAATACTTTTATAAAATAAATTGCTTAAAATTTTTAAATAATTTAGTTAGGAATTTTAGAATCATCGGGTAATAAATGTACACAGAGATATTTTCATTCAATTTTGTTTGGTGACAATGTAGAAAGTTACTAGACTTTTTAAATTATTTTTCTTATAATCTTCATAAATTTTCATTTAATTTATATATTTATTTTGTAGAGACATAAGTTTGATAAATTAAATAGGTCTATTATTTTTTAAGTTAATGACAGAACATATCAACTAGAATTTAAGAAGACTTTTGAGGTATTTAGTATTTCTAATGTATAAAAAATATAATATTATTCACTTTCTTTTTTTTCAAAAAAAAAATAATATCGGAAGAATGAATTGCAAAATACACAATTAATATTATTGTGATAGTTAATTGACCTTTAATATTATTGATTTATTATATAACTTATGATTAATTTATGTAAATTAGCGTTCATGAGTGATTTGTATATCAATATTTTTTTAAATGTATGTGTCTATAAGTATCCAAAATTGGTAAAAGGTGAAATAGTCTGATAGACCCTTATACTTATATCGAATTGTAAAGTGGATCCTTCTACTTAGGATTTTGTCAAGTGAACACTTAAACTTAACAAAACACAATATTTTAAACCCTTATTTTATTTGAACAGAGTGCGTGTAATGCAACCAAATACACGTGTAATCCAGCTCATTTTTTAATGCCACATCAGAAATTAAATATTAAAAATAAATAATATTTTTTTTAAAATATTATTTTTTTGTTTTTATTGTACCTTCTTCTCAACTCTTCCATTCTCATCACCCACCATTTCCTATCCGTTTGTCGCCCCACCCACCTCCCACCATTTTCCATCCGTCTGCCGCCCATCACCCCCAAATCCAAACCCACCTTTCTCATCCATCTGCCGCCCCACCCACCTCCCACAAATTCCTATCCCTCTGGCGCCCCACCACTCCCAAATTCAAAACCACCTCCCACCATTTCCCATCAATCTTAAGCATAAATATACACCTGCTGCTATATCTTGCAAATTAGGTGTTCTCGTTTGGCAAGTTTCTAAAAAATATGGAATCTTTTCTTTATCTAATTCTTGAAAAGCTATACATGAATTTTCCTTCTTTAAATCACTTAGAGATTCAAGAATCTTTACTATTAAAATCAGAATACATAAATCTCCGCCCAACAAAAAAAGGTTGCTTGAAGCAACTGTGTAGATTTTAGTAACGACAATTTTCTTCCTAATCTGCAGCAAAGAAAGTTGTCGCTGCCCACCTATACTCTCTTACTCACTATCTCCACCTTTGTCATAGAATAGGTAATTTTCAAAATAAAAAATATCCAATTTTCGAGCGAGCACCACCATGAAATAAACGCCGCATTCTCCCTCCACTAATAATCACCATGAAATTTGATGTCATGAAAGTTCCAATGTCAAATTCAGTAAAGAAGATAACGATAGGGTGTGGATAAGAAAGAAAAAAGGGATTGGGGTTGGGGTGGCTGAAAAAAAAATTAGTGTGGGTAAGAAGATGGAGTTTTTTCCTTTTTAAATTTATTACTTTCTTTTTTTAATAATTTAAAAATTAAATTTTAAATTTTAAATATCATGTTCACTTGCCTTTACAGGCGTGCGACTACACTATCTTGCCAATTCATTTATATTAATGTCACACAAGAATGGTCAATTGTCAGAGGGGTTTAATATGTTGTGTTATGTTGAGCATAAGAATTCAGTTGACAAAGTATTAAGTAGAAGAATCCACAGTACAAACTGATACAAATGTAAGGGTCCACCAGATCATTCCACCTTGATAAAATTGTAGTTCATTTTTAAAATGTATTCTTCATAACATAAAAGAATAAAAAATTTATATGATAAAAAAATTTAAGTATGAAAATTTATTCTTAATAAACTAATAAAAAAATATAAAATATAATATGACCCTCATTTTACTTAAATGGGTTTAATGAATTAAATTAGTCTGTTATTAAAAAAACTTTAATAACATGTCATGCCAACTAGGAGAGAGTGATGATTTTAAAGTGTCAAGTATATTTGGAGGAAAATAGTGATAGCTGAGTAATATTTTGATCCTAAATAAAACATAAACGATATTTCAATGCAATTCTCTTAACTTGGATGTCCATTTAGGAAATTGACTCTAATTTTGATTCTCAAGTTATTAACTCATCCTTCAATTAATTAAAATATATTATTTTAATATTTAAAATTAATTAATGTTTGATAAAAGTTAATTAAAAACATAGCATATATAACAGACTCCAAGCAAGGAAAGAGGTAGTAGAGGCAAAAGAATGTAATATTATATTGTGATTTGTTAAATAAATCTGTGTAAATTATTTTTTATTTTATTTTTGATGGTGAAATATGAGACAATGATAAATACACAACCAATTATAAAGCAAATGATAAATTTTTTTAAGCATCAATACCATGAAATGGAGTAATATATTATTGCAATAAAAATATAAGATATACCAAAAAAAATAGGACAAGCACGTATGTTGGAGCCTCGTCAATGACCAAAAAAATAATTTTAACAATAAATTAGATATTCATTTTAAAAGAAGATAGCAATTGGGTGTCAATAGAATTAAAGGATACCCGTAAATAAATAAACATGGTGCTTAAGATAATAATTGTCAAGTTTGTTAACTTTAGGGACTAAAATAACACATTTTAGTTAATTGAAGGCTAAACATGGTAGTCATAAAACACGAGGATCGAAATTGCAATAAGACAATAACTTAAAGAACCAAGTTACTATTTTCCCATTCCTTATGAAATTAAATAAATGTATTAATAATTTAATCTAAAAATATCTTTATTATCAATAATTTGATTCAAAAATATTTATGTTTTATTAAAAAGAAAAATTATCGTTATCTAAATGAAAAGTAATGATAAAACTATTATGATATGACATACATTAACAGTTAAAAAGGTACATTGTTTTATTTTAATTGTTAAAATAAGATTAAGAAAAAAAACAAAGGTTATTTATTTATTAGTTAAAGTGATTTGAAGATAAAAAAAAATAAGAATCCAATTCTTTAATAGTAATATTTTCAATTAAAATAGAATATGTTCAAAAGGAAAAAGGCACAAATATATTTATTAGGAAAAGGACATTTTGATTCATTAAGTAATAATAAGAGCATTTATGTATTAAATTGTCAGTAGATGTATTTTTAAATATATTTATTAGGAAAAGGACATTTTAATCCATTAATTAAGTAAAAATAAGGGCATTTATGTATTAAATTGTTAGTAAAGGCATTTTTTGACCAATCTATTGCCAACAAGAGTAGAGTTGGATCATATTATTGACTAACAACATTTTTATTTTATTTTACATAATTTGAAGACAATTTAAAACCCTTTAATTATTTGTCAATACTTTTGATATTATAATTTGTAATGTTTGATTCTGAATATCACATAAATTTTTAAAATAGGGATATTTTTTATCTTTTGATTTTAAATTAAAAATAGGTTGAATATATCAAAATATATTTTAATTTTGTAATCTAAAACGTCATATATAAAGTTGAAATTAAAGAATTGTCAATATAAAAGTAAAAATAAAACATCTTTTTAAGACCATAGAAGTATGCTTTAAAATATAAAAGTTAAATTATCATTTTACACCTATATCAAATTAAAAATTTATTTAATTAAAGTTAGAATAGTAATATTTAAAATATTTGTTGATTATATCTATACATCTGTATTATTTTATTATTAAAGCATGACTATAAATATTGGTTGAACAAAATATCCTTCAAATGGCGAATATATATATATATATATATATATATATATATATATATATATA